AAGATAAGGATGTTAGCTGCATGGAGACTTGAATCATGAACACCTGCAAAATAGGTACCAAAGTATGCTGGCTTAGATATTATCAACTTAACACCTAATGGAACAACTTATGTCTATGGGCTCTCTCTCAAGACCCAAATCTAGTTTTAAAACTCTTGTAAACACGTTCATAGATCGGCCGAAAGGACTTCTGTCTAGACTTTACAGAATTTTGATCAACTTTTATAGAGATACCATCTTGAACAGAAAATCTTGGCACAAAGACTTACAACGTGAACAGTGGAAGTCAATTTGGGACTCCTCAGTGAATAAGTCTCGGATCGTTAACATTTGACTTCAGTCCTTTAAACTTACCACACCTTGGTACTACACTCCTGTCAGACTGAATCATAGGAATCCAGCCCACAGCCCTCTTCGTTGGAAGGGGTGTGGCGACGCTGGTGACTTCTTTCACTGCTGGTGGGCCTGCCCGACTATACATACATTTTGGAAACAGACTCTCGGAACTCACCTCCATATTGCTAGCAACGGCTAGGCTTACAATAGCGATCACATGGAAATCTCCTAACCTCCCCCCACCCCCGGCCATTTCAGACTGGAGAGACAAAATATGGGACCATTTTCTTATGGAAAAGACTTCTCACTCCAGATTTGTCCGTACCTGGTTTCCCCTACTACAGTATATGATGGACAATGAATTTCTTCCATCTAATGCAAGTTATATCAACTGACTTTATTTATTTATTTATGATTTTAGTATCCTTCGTCTGACCACTCTTGTTCTGTCCTTTTTGCATCTTTTTGCATCTTATTCCAATAGCTTTCCCTTCCTCTCTCATACTAAAGCTTCTTAAGGTTTACATCCCTCCTACTTGATGGTTGTGTGTTTACTAGTTGTGCAACATTCTTATTACTGCTAGGATTAATGTTGTATTGACCATGTAAGTCTTGCATGCTTTTTTACATTTTCATGTACGGTGGAATGACTTTTCAATAAGCTTGAGAAAAGGGGGGGAGGGGAGAACACCTGCAAGTCAGACCAGGACACTTAATAATCATGTTAACCCTTTGGGGAACTAGGATGCTTCGCCTCACAGATCCATTCCCCTTATACTGGTTAAGATTGTGGGCTTTGATCTTGACCATGGTTCCGTCCCTCCAGAAGGCACTCCATGAAACTGCAGAGCGGTCGGGTTAGAACGGATAAAAGGAAGTACTTCTTCACCCAAAGAGTGATTAACACATGGAATTCACTGCCACAGGAAGTGGTGGGTGCTACAAGCATGGACGGCTTCAAAAGGGAATTAGATAAGCATATGGAGCAGAGGTCCATCAGTGGCTATTAGCCACAAGGTATAGCTAGGGGCTCTGGGGCAAGTGATGCTCTGTCTTCTTGGTGCTTGGGGGGGGGTCAACAGTGGGAGGGCTTCTAATGTCCTGGCCCCACTGCTGGACCTCCTGATGGCACTGGTATTTCTGGCCACTGTGTGACACAGAGTGTTGGACTGGATGGGCCTTTGGCCTGATCCAACATTGGCGTCTCTTATGTTCTTATGTTAAGACTTTTTACTCTTGAATTAATTTAATTCTCCATATAAGAATGATCACTCTCCCTCTCTCCCTCGCCCTCTCTTTCTGTGAAAGAAGCCAGAAGTATGACTTTGGTTTGGTACAATCATACAGCCCACTGGGTAAGGCAGGAGGGAGGCCTTCTGGGCACCTGAAATCTGGAGCCTCAGAAACTCCTTCAGGGTAAGAGCTCAGCTGTGGTTCTCACGGGGGTGAGGTACTCTTAAATACTAGATATTCTGGGGAAAGGTGGAGGGATAGTTAAGATCCACCAAGCTGGATAAGGCCAAAGGGCTGTTAATCCTTTCCTACTGCAGTCAGACAGATGCCTTTGGACCTTACAAACTCCTTGAGGTGCTAACAGACTCTCTCTTTATTCCAGCACAGGATGATGAGAGGAAGGAGGAGGCTGAGGAACTTCATCAGCAAATGCCAGACAGAGTTAAAAAGGGAGACTTGAAAGAAAATGTCAGGAATCCAGACAGACCTAAGAGAAAGAAAGGCAGCCTTACGGTTGAGAAGCGAGATGGAAGAAAGCATGGTGTATATTTTCCAAAGCACAGGATAATGAAGACAGGTAAATCCATTCTGTGTGGAACGTACTTCAGAAATAAATCACAGCTCCTTGTGCACCAAAGAGTAGGCAGAGGTGAGAAAACTTTTGAATGTTCTGTGTGTGGAAAGAGATTCAGTCAGAGTGCCAATCTTCAACTGCATCAGAGAACCCACACAGGAGAGAAACCTTTTGAATGCTCAGAGTGTGGAAAGAGATTCAGTAGGCATGACCATCTTCAGCATCATCAAAGAACCCACACAGGGGAGAAACCTTTTGAATGCTCAGAGTGTGGAAAAAGATTCAGTCAGAGTGCCAATCTTCAGTATCATCAAAGAACCCACACAGGGGAGAAACCTTTTGAATGCTCAGAGTGTGGAAAGAGATTCAGTCACAGTGGCACTCTTAAAAAGTATCAAAGAACCCACACAGGGGAGAAACCTTTTGAATGCTCAGGCTGTGGAAAGAGATGCAGTGGTAGTTCTGCTTTTCGACAGCATCAGAAAACCCACACATGGGAGAAACCGTTTGAATGCTCGGAGTGTGGAAAGAGATTTAGACAGAGTGGCACTTTTCAACAGCATCAAAGTACCCACACAGGGGAGAAACCTTTTGAATGCTCAGACTGTGGAAAGAGATTCAGTCACAGTGGCAGTCTTCAGAAGCATCAAAGAACCCACACAGAGGAGAAACCTTTCGAATGCTCAGAGTGTGGAAAGAAATTCAGCCAGAGTGCCAATCTTCAAGTGCACCAAAGAACCCACACAGGGGAGAAACCTTTTGAATGCTCAGAGTGTGGAAAGAGATTCAGTCACAGTGCCAATCTTCAACAGCATCAAAGAACCCACACAGGGGAGAAACCTTTTGAATGCTCAGAGTGTGGAAAGAGATTCAGTCAGAGTTCCAATCTTCAACAGCATCAAAGAACCCACACAGGGGAGAAACCTTTTGAATGCTCAGAGTGTGGAAAGAGATTTAGAAAGAGTGCCAATCTTCAACTGCATCAGAGAACCCACACAGGAGAGAAACCTTTTGAATGCTCAGACTGTGGAAAGAGATTCAGTCACAGTGGCACTCTTCAACTGCATCATAGAACCCACACAGAGGAGAAACGTATCGAATGCTCAGAGTGTGGAAAGAGATTTAGGAGGAGTGCCAATCTTCAACTGCATCAGAGAACCCACACAGGAGAGAAACCTTTTGAATGCTCAGAGTGTGGAAAGAGATTCAGTAAGAGTGCCAATCTTCAGTATCATCAAAGAACCCATACAGGGGAGAAACCTTTTGAATGCTCAGTGTGTGGAAAGAGATTCAGTCACAGTGGCACTCTTCAAAAGCATCAAAGAACCCACACAGGAAAGTCAGGAACTTTTGGATCTTGATTCTAGCAACAATAGAACAAATAACTAATATCAATATTCCACTGTCGCCCACTCTTATAGTTTTAGACTTATGGGAAGACGTAGAAATTCCTAACTCATCTAAAGATCTAATTCCCACAATGTTAATCGCAGCCAAAATGGTAATTGCCAGAAATTGGAAAAGTTCCAATACACTAACGAAACACCAATGGTACATGCAGTTATGGGAACTTTATGCTATGGATAAAATAGCACAATCCATACCACCATATAATATCTATAGAGCTCAATCTTTGGTTTTTGTGAAATGGTCGCCCTTTCTAAAAGCCACTCTTGGGGATAGTGCCACTTCTAACAACTCAATTCCAGCTAGATATATAGAAATTATTTCAGCGCTTTGAATAGATTCCTTGTTTTATGTCACACTGCTATTATTTAATGTTCCACCTTATATAACTGATGCTCTTCCTTATGTTATACAAATTGTTCTTGTTGATTATGATTCATATCTATTGTCTACAATGTTAGATGCATTTTTATTGAAAGTTATGTACTTGTTCTGAGTTTTGAAAAGTTAATAAAAAATTTATTAAAAAAAAAAAG